GAAAATGCTATAAAAAAGGGCCTCATACTTCATGTTGCATTGCTTAGGACACTTTGCTTGTAGTCTCTCTACAGAAAAGCAAAGTCTTTGTCACAATGAAGTCCACAAAGGTTGATGTCACAGCCTAATTTCATTTGGAAACTAATCTTCCTTTTACATAGGAAAAAGGAGGAAATGGATTGTTTTACTCAGCAGCAATATTAGACCTCCCAGTGGGAGTTTGAAACTCTTCCTCTTCCTTCCTCCTTCAGAATACATGGAAAATGAGTCATGAGAGGCAGCACACAAAGGCAGACATAGTACTGATGGAGGTTAGCCTGGCCTCCTGTTACAAATAGCTGACACTGCCTTGCCCAATCCTTTTTGGCATCCCTGTCACACCACCACAAACGGTGGCAGCAAGGATAGTGTTTAAACAGCTATGTGAAGAACTACGTAGGCGAAGGTATCTTTAAATAACTAAAAGTGGGTCTTATTCCTTGACTGTGTCAACATGAGTTGTTATTCCATCCTACTGAACAGGAGAAGTGAGCCAAATGTAATTCTGAATGTTGCAGATGTAAGCAATGAAGTGAGATCGTTTGCTGCTGCTCAGAGCTTTCCTAATCTACACCAGAATGAAACTGATCTGATTGTCAGTTTTTACTGCTGCCATTCAAATTTCAGTGGGAAACAGTGAGATTGGCAGGAATCAGGTCATTTTCATTATGCTGATGTTTGAGGAAACTGTGAGCAGCAGCAGAGGCCAGGTGTGGAAGGATGGGACCTAAAACCTGATTTGGGGGGGGGGGGCAGGGAAGAAGAGTTGGAATAGTAATAAATATTGTCCCCATCTCCTTGATTTAGCTAGGAGGCTCTGGGGTGTGAGAGGAACAGATAATGCTGCTTCTTTCTTCGTTTCATGAAGAGTCTGGGTTGGGGGTCTTCAGATTTATCAGGCTGGACACTGAAAAATGAAGCCTCCAAGCAGGGTTCAGGGTCAGCACCCTAGCAGGAAACTTACCAGGTGCTTCCCAGCGAGTAGGTGGGGTGGGCGAAGTGTTTGGCTAATAGGTTTAATCCTTGGCTAAAGTGTGTGTGGGGAAGGAATTGGGTAAATTTTTTACACTTTGTGGCCTCATCTATACTTAAGTTTTACTGATATATTTTTAACCAAACTAGCTATACCAGTAAATGCTCTAGCGTAAATGCAGTTATACCAATATAAAGGCACCTTATAGCAGTATATTTTATTCCCTTTCCAGTCTCTGAATAAGGTGTAAGCACTTTTATACCAGTATAACTGCATCCACGCTAGAAGGGTTTTACCGCTTTAACAGTACTGGTATAGATAAAGCAGCACAGCTTTCTAGGGTAGACAAGGCCTGGGTGGATGGACTATTTCAGAATAGAAATAGGATATATAGAGGGACTTTGGAGAGAGAATGAATGAGATAGAGACAGAAAATGTATGGCAGGAGGGAAGGGAAAAGGGATAGCAGGCGATGTGGTGATCAGAAGAAGGGGAGAAAAGACAGGAATGATGCAGGAAGAGAGAGACCTGGATTTATTATAGGAAAGAGAAGAGGAGAAAGTGGAGTAAAACCAAGAAAGAAAAGTTCTTTATCACAGCAGGAGGAATACAGAAAGGGACATTTCTTACATTATCAGTCAACTTTCTGTTGAATAAATTAAAGCCAAATACAGTATACAATAGAGTACTTAAGTGTTCTATTTTCTTAAACTGCAGATGGTTGACTGTGATGACCTTAGTAGTATTGATAACTCTCATTCTGGTTATTAAGCTTAGCATCTTAGTTAGTTGGTGTTGTAAAAAGAACAGGAGTACTTGTGGCACCTTAGAGACTAACAAATTTATTAGAGCATAAGCTTTCGTGGACTACAGCTCACTTCTTCGGATGCATACAGAGTGGAATAAATAAGTTGGTGTTGTGTAAACAATACTTAAAATTTTCACTCTTCTAATAATTGGAATCACAGATGTGGTGAACCATTTCATCTCTAATTCGGGGGTGAATAGGAAGGGGTTTGTATTGTCCCACTTTGATAAGATGTTTTACATTTAATATAGCTCCTGTCCTCCAAAGACCTCGAAGTTCTTTATAATCATAGGTTGATCCTCATAACCCCCATACGAAATAGGAATTGTATTCATTTTACAGATAAGTATAATCTGAATTACTAGAAATTTTGTTGCTTAAGGTCATGCAGTGAGTCAGTGGCAGATCCTGGATATATTGTGGGCATATGCCTTTTGATGAATATAGGAATTCCCATATGGATTCAGACAAGTGGACACTCTGATCCACTATCCTGTCGCTGGAAAGGGCTGCATTCTTCAGAGGATAGTGCAAGAAGCACTGCAATCGACAATTATGGAATAATCTGCTTACAGGGTTTCTTCCTTATCCCTATCAGTGATTATCTTAAGCCATACCCCTTGAGTTTACACCTCTTTGGGGGTGGCAGAAATAAATCCTTGTTAGTTTTGTTGCCTTTCAGTCATGGAATAGTCATGTGTTCTTGTTTTATAATAAGATAAATCTGGTATTTGTTTGCCTTCTCTATGCCATTCACTCTTTTGTACACCACTATAATTTCTCCTCTCTAAACAGAAATCTTTCTATGCCTCTTGTCAGGGTTCCCTCCCCACTCTGAACTCTGGGGTACAGATGTGGGGACCCGCATGAAAGACCCCCTAAGCTTATTTCTACCAGCTTAGGTTAAAAACTTCCCCAAGGCACAAATCCTTTCCTTGTCCTTGGACAGTATTGCTGCCACCACCAAGTGATTTAGACAAAGATTTCAGGAAAAGGGCCATTTGGAGTTCCTATTTCCCCGAAATAGTCCCCTAAGCTCCTTCACCCCCTTTCCTGGGGAGACTTGAGAATAATATACCAACCAATTGCCTTTAATAAAAGTACAGACCAGACCCTTTATTTTTAGGACACTAAAATCAATTAGGTTTTTAAAAGAAGAACTTTCTTTTACTTTTTTCTTTATAATAAGCATCTCTGTAAAATTAGGATGGAAGGTAATTTTACAGGGTGATAAAAAGATTTAAAACACAGAGGATTCCCCTCTAGGCTTAACTTCAAAGTTACAAAAACAGGAATAAACTTCCCTCTTAGCATAGGGAAAATTCACAAGCTAAAACAAAGATAATCTAACGCATTTTCTTGCTTTACTTACAATTTTTGTAATCTTAGATGCTCATTTTAGGTATGTTTTTTAGGAGATAGTTTTTTCCTGCCTTGGTCCCTCTCTCGTCCAGAGAGAGAACAACAAAGAGAGCACAAACATCCCCCCCCCCCCCCCCCGATTTGAAAGTATCTTCTTTTCTTATTGGTCCTTTTGGTCAGGTGCCAATCAGTTTATTAGAGCTTCGTAACCCCTTACAGGTAAAGGAGGGATTTTATGCTACCCTTAGCTGTATGTTTATGACACCTCTAAATTTTATTGAACTTCTCTGAATCCCTTCTATTTCTACTATATCTTTTCCAGGTGAGGGTATACCCTTGACTTATATAGTGGTGTCAATCTATTTTCAGCATTGTTTTCTATCATATTCTTTATACTTCATAAGGTTATCTGTCTGCCTTTTTTTTGGACTGTTGTTGCACATTGAGCAGGTATTTTAATTGAGATGTCCACAATGATGCCGAGATCTTTTTCTGAATGACTACAGTTAATTTAGAACCCAGCAATGTTCATGGGTATTTCAAGTTATTACCTCCAGTGTGCATTACTTTGCATTTGTCAATACTGAATTTTATCTGCATTCATGTTTCCCATTCATTTAATGGTTTGTTAGCACCCATTTGAAGTTTAGTAACATTTGCAGATGACAAAATTATTTAATTTATCTCAGCGTTCATCCCCTTTTCCAGATCCTGAACTATAATTAGCAACACTGGTTCTAGCATGTAACCTTCTGGATCCCTATTGTTAAAACATTGCACCATCTGAAATATTGATGATTTATTCCTACTTTCTAGCTATTAATCAGTTAATGACATATATCAATAATTTACATAAGAGCGGCCATACTGGGTCAGACCAAAGGTCCATCTAGCCCAGAATCCTGTCTTCTGTCAATGGCCAATGCCAGATGCCCCAGAGGAAATGAACAGAACAGGTAATCATCAAGTGATCCATCCCCTGTCGCCCATTCCCAGCTTCTGGCAAACAGAGAATAGGGATGCCATCCCTGCCCATCCTGGCTAATAGCCATCGATGGACCTATCCTCCATGAATTTATCTCGTTCTTTTTTGAACCCTGTTATAGTCTTGGCCTTCACAACATCCTCTGGTAAAGAGTTCCATAGACTGACTGTGCATTGTGTGAAAAAATACTTCCTTTTGTTTGTTTTAAACCTGCTGCCTATTCATTTCATTTGGTGACCCCTAGTTCTTGTGTTTTGAGAGGGAGCAAATAACACTTCCTTATTTACTTTCTCCACACCAGTCATGATTGTATAGACCTCTACTATATCCCCCCCTTAGCTGTCTCTTTTCCAAGTTGAAAAGTCCCAATCTTATTAATCTCTCCTCATATGAAAGCCGTTCCTTATCCCTAATCATTTTTGTTGCCCTTTTGTGAACCTTTTCCAGTTCTAAGATGGGGCAACCACATCTGCATGCAGTATTCAAGATGTGGGCATACCATGGATTTATATAGAGGCAATATGATTTTACCTCAGACTTCATGACCACCTAATTAACTTAATAGCCACTAACAAGAGATTTTTATCAAAGGCTTGCTGAAAGTCCAAATTGTCAACTGGTTCTCCTTTGTTTAGTTGACATTCTCAGAGTTCTAATAGATTAGAGGCATGATTTACTTTGTATAAGTGGTGCTGTCTTGTCTCGATCATATAATTATCATTCTATTTTTAATTATAGTTTCATCCAGCTTTCCTGATATTTGAAAGAAGGCTAACTGATCTGTGATTCTCAGAATCACTTTTATTCAGCAATAGGTAAAACATTTACTGTCTTCGAGCATTTAAATGGCTGTGTTTTGTTAGCATTTCAGTCACTTCAAGTTCCACCTCAAGTCATAGATGTATCCAGTCCTGGTAATAATTTGTTCTTAAGTTTATCTATTTGTTCCAATACTGTTACTTTTGATACTTCAATTTCTGATGGTACCTACTGTTTATTACCTCAAAGAGTAGATCTTGGAGTGGCGTCTTCAACATTTTTAGGGGTGAAGAGCAAATCCCAACTCATTTAATTTCTTTGTCCTCCTCCATTGACTCCCTGCTGGGCCTGGTAACAGTGTTAATATTTAGTACATGTAATTGGCAAAGAAACAGTCCAGAGTTGGCATCTGATTAATTCTCTGTTCACCATCTTTTTTCTGTGTTCTCTGTGTAACATTGATTACTTTTAACATACACAATATCAAGCATACCTTTTTGTACCTGTTTAAGTTCTTTAGTGAAGCTTGCTGGGCTAAGAAGCTGTTTCACCTACACTTCCAAGCCAGAAAAGAAGACCTTTTTTCTGAGCTCATGTAATTTCAATGAGTGTATTGTGTCCCTAAGTGCTGGGCGCAAAGGCATGGTGAGTAAATACTGCTGCCAGCAGATTTGAAAAAAACAAATGTAGTGACATAAGCCTGAAACTGAAAAGCTGTCCAAGTTGAGCTATGAATTCCCCTCTTGCAGTCTGGGTGCTATTGATACCTTGGACATTTAGCAGCTGCAGGAATTAGGCTTGTGAATGGAGTCCCTTGTCTGTATCAACTGAGCCAATTAGAAGTGTCTTGGTTTAGCCAACAGGAAATGACACTGCAGCCAGTACCTAAATATAGTGTGTACGCATGCATATCTGTGATTACATACACACTTTCTTCCACTCAGAAGATCTCTCAGAAACTGGAGAAGCCAGAGAGACAGAGCTGGCACAACTATAACTCTCAGCATAAAAGAAGACTGAGTTGTTTTGCTGTGAATATCAGATTCACAGCGTGAGATCTCAAGCTCTAGACATGAGAACCAGAAAAACCTTAATGCTATTTCCTGGTCTGCTCTCATTTTTATGGGGCTGAGGGGCAGGAGTATTTACGCTTGAGCTTGTAATTTCTTGGAAAGAAAGGAAAAATTTCAGCTTATTTGCTCTTTCAACATAAATGCATCTGAAGGAGTGAGGGGCATGAAAGACTTCACATTTAAAAATATTTTTCTTGTGTTTAAACAAACAAAGTATTATGAAATCTGTTTTGGTCAAACAAAGAAAATAGCTATAATCTTGAACGGCATGTGGCAGTTGGTGCTACACATATGAGTTTTTGGAAATTTTGTTAAAGCCAGAGTGTATTGGTGTTTCCAGTGACTGCATAGACTTGGTAGTTATTGAATATTCATTGTGGTTTGATGGAATTGAGCAGTGAGTCCTGTGCTAATGAGCATCTTGGGATTGCGTTTAAGAGTTAAACTGATGTACTGGAAATTCAGATTGTATCAGCTCACCTGGGGAACTTTGCCCTCGGAATATCCTCAGAAAGGTAAGCAGTATTGCCAAACCCTAACATTAAAAAATCATCAATCATGCCTCGAAAAACCATGAGATTGACTTTAAAAATAGTATTTTGGTATTATTTCCTTTCTGACTTTTGAGACTTTAGCTCATGTTTTCAAGCCTTTCTCTGCAACCCTGAAGGCTAGAAACTTATCTTAAAAACACAACAAAAACAAGAAACTGAGATTTTAATGCAGTCATGCTATTCCAGGAGTTTGGACTTTAAGAAAAATACCAAACATTATAGGAGTCATGATAAAATCATGAGTTGGAAAGAATTACTTCAAATCACTGAAACATGACTTGGAGATCAAATAGTTTGGGATATTCTCTGAGGGTGTGAATAGCTGCTACTTGACATCTGCAGAACAAACTTACTTTGCCAGGTAGCTATTCTGTTAGCATCAATGCTTCTAGTTCACTTAATCTTAGATGGGTGCATTGTTTGTCAGATATTACTTTCGCAATAAAACTAGTCTGTCTCCTCCCCAAAAATTGTTTCTAGCTGTCATTCTACATGTTTGATATTTCTGGAAATGTATATTGGCGCACACAATCTTTTCCAGAATTATGGAAGGTTCATTTGAGCCACTTTGAAATAGATTATACAGTTGACAACCACTTGACTTTTTGGTAGTAAGTCTCCATAAATGACTTATACCTTGCAATTCTGTGGACCAGGATGTGTAGCTCTCCCCTGCTAAAAATGACTATTTTTAGCTTCCTCTTTCCCAAGCTCCCTGATATGCAGAATATCACTTTGAAGTTATAAGTTACCATAATTTAATATTTGAAGATGCACCCTTGCCTAGACCTCTTTACAATTCACACTTGCTGAGAGATAGGTCATGTCTACACTTACCAGGGATCGATGCTGCTGCGATCGATGCATCGGCGGTTGATTTAGCACGTCTAGTGAAGACCTGCTAAATTGACTGCAGAGTGCTCTCTGGTTGACTGCAGTCTTCCACCAGAACAAGAAGAGTAAGGTAAGTTGACGGGAGAGCATCTCCCGTAGATGCAGCGCGGTGTAGACACCCAGTAAGTCGACCTAAGCTATGTCGACTTCAGTTACGTAGGTCGAGTAGCGTAACTTAGGTTGACTTACCCTGGTAGTGTAGACAAGGCCTTAGTGGAATCTGTTCTGCTAATGGGGATGTAGCTATACTAGATTTCTCATCATAAGTGTGTACACAGTTCCTCAGCTATCTTTCAAGCCTGTGTGTGTCTTCATATTGCCTTTTACCCCAACTTGTCATTGTCTGTAGTTTTGCTGCTGCTCGAGTGTAGTGGTAACATAGATTTGCCATTATGAATTTTCTCAGCTATCATAAAGCAGGTCATTTTTGCAAATATCCAAGATACTTTAGCTTTGTGAAACCCAAAGAGCAAGTACTGCAAGTGGGCCATGTTTGCTACTCTCTTTCCTCCCACCCAAGAACAGCCTTCATTATTGCATATTAATAGTCATTTTTAGCTATATTTTTTACCAATAATATTGACTTTTTTTTCTTCAATCATTCTTATGCCTCTGATAGCCCTAAAGATATCCCTCCTCTAATTTGTTATTGGGTTAAAGGTGTTGGATTGAACTCCTTGCACAGTTTAATTGGCTTGAAGGGTAAAGTGAGTTATGATATGCTTTCTTCTTCGTGGGCTGATCACATGGTCTCCATAGCATTCCCAGTACACCTCCAACATGACTTTCCTACATGGTAGTGGACACACCACTATTAGATTACTGGGCTAACTCTCTAGTATTTAAGTGGAAGTCTTTTATGTCATCTTAAAATATATTTTAAGATTGAAATAAAGCCAACTTCTCTAGGTGTTTTTATTTTAACAATTCACTCCTTTCCTCTCCAGGGTGCTTCAGGGTGCCTGGTGTTTTTAGGGAGAAAGATGAAGTCTCTTATACTGTAACAATAAATGAACTACCTCCACTCAGATTATAATTTAAGAATTCCTGTCCTGGAAAAGAGCAATGGGTCATCTAATCTGCAGTTGAGCCTCTAAAAATGGCAATGCCAAATGTTTCAGTGCAAGCTGCAATGTCTCCGTAATATATCTAGTTGTTTGCTAGTGAGCTATAGAGGGATTTCCTTCCTGACTTTAGCTGGTGAACAATTTAAACCCTAAAACAGAGATTCTCAAACTGTGATCAGTGGTCCGCAAGCTCCATTCAGGTGGTCCGCGGATAGTTTCCTCTAAGGTGCGCGCCTGGGTGGCAGCACAGGAGAGAATAAAGGGGCACCCACCTAATTAGTGAAGCCACAAAGGCATTGCTCCACTAATTAGGTGCCTCGACCCTGGAGAAGACGCACACGTAAGGTGAGGTGATGGCCTTGGGGGGAATAGGAGGTACGTGGGAGGGGGCAGTAGGGTGAGAAGAGGGGGTGGAGGGAATTTGGGACATCCAGGGTTGCAGCAGACAGAGAAAAAGGCGACTTTCCCCAGCTCCAGGGCTGCTGCTGCTGACGGGGAGAGACTGCCGTCCTTCCTAGCTCTGTGGCTGCTGTGGTTTTGGGGGGGGGCCCCTTCCAATCGCCAGCTCGGGGGCTGCAGCGGCGGGGACAGGAGAGGGAGAAACTCCCCCTCCTTCCCAGCCCTAGCTCGCAGGCTGTCGCAGCGGGGGAGAGAGGGCACATCCATTACATTAAAAAGGTAAGACTGCTGATGTTAAAATATGAGTTGTGTGCTTTTATTTGTCGAACAAAAAAAACTTGTTTTTTTGTTTTGTTTTTGTTTTTATATATAGCGCTTTTATCCAAAGCACTTTACAATAGTTAGCTAATGGTACAAACAACATTTGGAAAGATCATTAAGTGGTCCGCCGAGACCCTCAGCAGTTTTCAAGTGGTCCACGAAAAAGAAGTTTGAGAACCACTGCCCTAAAACATCCAAATTTGATGATCTGTAGGTTCTTTGTAAGAGCCTGATGTAAGTCTGGCAGCTAGAATGTTGTATTTGGTTCTGGGCACTTTGAGTTCAGTAGTTGTCTGGAATTGGGGAAGAAGTAAAAAATGATGTGTGCCACAAGGATGATATGTTTCAGAAACATCGAAAGGGATGCAGGGGCAAGGTAAAGAATACATAAGTCTACAAATGTTTGGAAGGGTATTGACAGAAAGGAGAGAGAGGAATTCAGTCTAGCGCAACAGTGTACAATTAGGAGTAATGAGATGAAAAAGCTTACCTTTGCTGCCAAAAAGGTGTATTTTTTTATGTCAAGATAGCTATTGATGTAAAATCCTAGTGGAGACAAGGACCTGTAGTGTTTACCTTAGGCCTGGTCTACACTACGAGTTTAGGTCGAATTTAGCAGCGTTAAATCGAATTAACCCTGCACCCGTCCACACAACGAAGCCATTTACTTTGACATAAAGGGTTCTTAAAATCAATTTCTGTACTCCTCCCTGACGAGGGGAGTAGTGCCGAAATCAACATTGCCATTTCGAATTAGGGTTAGTGTGGGCACAATTCGACGGTATTGGCCTCCGGGAGCTATCCCACAGTGCATCATTGCTGTCCAGAGCGGTCACAATCTGAACTCTGATGCACTGGCCAGGTAGACAGGAAAAGCCCCGCGAACTTTTGAATTTCATTTCCTGTTTGCCCAGCATGGAGAGCACAGGTGACCATGCAGAGCTCATCAGCACAGGTAAGCATGCAGTCTGAGAATCGAAAAAGAGCACCAGCATGGACCGTACAGGAGGTACTGGATCTGATCGCTGTATGGGGAGAGGATTCCGTGCTAGCAGAACTACGTTCGAAAAGACGAAATGCCAAAACATTTGAAAAAAGCTCCAAGGGCATGATGGAGAGAGGCCACAATAGGGACTCATATCAGTGCCACCTGAAAGTTAAGGAGCTCAGACAAGCGTACCAGAAAACCAAAGAGGCAAATGGAAGGTCCGGGGCAGAGCCGCAGACATGCTGAGCTGCATGCAATTCTAGGGGGGTCCGCCACCACTACCCCACCCCTGACGGTGGATTCCGAGGAGGGGGTACTCTCAGCCATGCCTGAGGATTTTGCGAACGGGGAAGATGAGGAGGAGGAGGACGACGACGACGACGAGCTTGCGGAGAGCACACAGCACTCCATTCTCCCCAGCAGACAGGATCTTTTTCTCAGCCTCACTGAAGTACCCTCCCAACCCTCCCAAGGCGGTATCCCAGACAATGAAGCTATGGAAGGGACCTCTGGTGAGTGTACCTTTTGTAAATATAAAACATGGTTTAAAAGCAATAATTTTTTTAATGATTAATTTGCCCTGAGGACTTGGGATGCATTCACGGCCAGTACAGCTACTAGAAAAGTCTGTTAATGTGTCTGGGGATGGAGTGGAAATCCTCCAGGGACATCTCCATGAAGCTCTCCTGGAGGTACTCTAAAAGCCTTTCCACAAGGTTTCTGGGCAGGGCAGCCTTATTCCGTCCTCCATGGTAGGACACTTGACCCACGCCATGCTAGTAGCAAGTAATCTGGTATCATTGCATGACAAAGCCTGGCAGCATATGGTCCTGATGTTTGCTGGCATTCAAGCAACAACCTTTCTTTATCTTGCTGTGTTATCCTCAGGAGAGTGATATTGTTCATGGTAACCTGGTTGAAATATGGGAATTTAATTAAGGGGACAGAGATGGCCGTTCCTACTAGGCTGTTTGCCTGTGGCTGAAAAGAAATCCTTCCCTGCAGTTAGCCAAGCAGTGGTGGGGGGGGGGTGCATTGGCGCTGAGCTTTTCACATTTGGCTAGCAGGGATCTTCCCTGATACCAGCCATGCGGTGCGGGGAGGGGTAAAGCGATCATTCCACAGAATTGGATGTGTTGGAGGGTTAGTTTGGTTTCTGCTGCTGCACGTTAACACCGCAGCACTCAACGGGCTTTGCTTGGTATGGGAAAGGAGGGCACTGCTTTTATGAAGGTTGCAGAAGCCAAAAGACAATGGCTTACCATGGCCGCATGCAAGCCGAATTCTGTTGG